GAGGAAACCTAATATTCTATCGGGTTTGTTCCTAGGCCCACATGTGTACATTGAAACCGTTGTACGTCTCGTCAGCTCAGTGTAAGCACGTGCACTTGCTCAGGTGTTGGTACGTCCTTGTACTATATTAATTTTTTTTATTTAATTGTTATTAATTTTGATTGGCTTATTTTCAAGTAATTTTTTGGTTTGGATGGTTTGTTAACCGACGTGACAATCATCTATCTGTTCGAGTTTAGAGGCTTTTTAAACAGTAATGATTGTTTTGAAGGGTTTAAAGTATGTTCAAATGACCATGAACAAGTTTGTAAATAGGCTGCTCCGTTGTCAGAATAATTATTCTATTTTCATTGTAAACGTTCTCTACTTTGTGCAGATTGCAATGCTGCTTCTGTAAGATGCGAAATTCATTTTATTCTGGGAAATGATTACTGAACACCTTTAGCTTATTTGAAGGCAGCAAATTCGTTTTAAGGAAACATGGAGAAGTAGGTGGGCTCAAATTAATTTTTTGATCCTAATGATCCTATTGTTACGTTGTGAAAATTATGTTAAGTTAATTCTGTTAATATTTTTATGTTCGGATTGTTTGAAGGAGGAAACTATACTCCAGAAACAACACTAATGTTTAAAAATTAGTAATAGCTTGTCTAAATAATGAAAAACTTGTTACTTTGGGCAAGTATATGCATTTGAATGAACAAATAATATAATTCAGTCTATTAGTGATCACCCTTTCTAACATATCTACAATTGAAAAAAATATATGACCTAAGTATACATAAGATTGATAGATAAATTAATGACAAGTATAGAACATTGAAGAAAAAGGCTTAAATAAGTAACATTTATTCCTTTGTCGCTTTCGTGCAGAAAAGCCTACAAAATTTAAAGAAGAATTCGAGAACCTAGCAATTGTAGCAAGTATTGATATATAGTTTAGCGTTAGATAACAAAAGTACATCAAGAAATAAAAATTAAGTTAGCTTTAAAAGTGTGAAGAATATAATATAGGAGATGAACGTGAAGAGCGAGTGGGCAGAAAACAATTTTAAAGTAACAGAAGGAAGCTTAGTGGATTAAGTCTCCAGCAACATCCAGAAGTTCGCAAAGTCTAATAATGATCATAAAAATTGAATGGTAAATGTGTGTGCTGCTTTCATACAATAAACCAATTAGAAAACAAAATGAAATTGCAGTCATATATGATTTGAAGCGCGTCAATGAACAAAATTTAGACGAAATTTTAGTTAAATTTGAATGAAAATGCGTCAATGAACCATACTCAAGTGAAAATTTATTCAAATTTGATTAGAAACACGTCAATAAACAAAACTCAAGTGAAATTTTAGTCAAATTTGATTGAAAACCCGCCATTTAACAAAACTCAGATGAAATTGTAGTCATATTTGATTGGAAGCGCGATAATAAACAAAATCATGACGAAATTTAAGTCAAATTTGATTTAAGATGAACCAATGAACCAAACACAAGTGAAATTTTAATTAAATTTGATTGGAAACACGCCAATAAACAAAATTCAGGTGAAATTTTATTCAAATTTGATTAGAAAAGCTCCTATGAACCAACCTCTTATGCACAACATTTGAAATTGATTTGGTACTTGATAGCTTTAGAAGCCCCAATTGAATTATGAATGTGGAAATATAATTATTTTGTTTCTTGAAAATGGAGGGATTGAACACAGTGCACGTAAATTTTTACCCAATTTTGCCAAGAGTCAATTCGAATCCATCAATAAGTGAATTGTATCTAAACAACAAATGAAATCATTTTTTCACCGTATTTAAACCTAAAAGTGATTCAAACATTTCTCACATAAAAAAATGAATCTTAATAGGTATGTTTTTCTTCTACGAAGACTGAAGAATTACACATCAGTCGATAGAGAACATAAAAAATCCTATCCTTAATCAATAACATTACGACTACTCTCTTTCTACTCACATATAAACAAGAAACTATTACAAACCTTTATGCCAATCATATTCAACTTATAGAGTCCATCACCGAATATTAGGGTGTTCTAACATATATCCAAGAAACTTCAGAACCCATATATATTTCCAAGAAAATCATGCATCGCAAAATCAACCCAAGAACAAAATTAATAAAATCAATCTTGAAGCAAAAAGTTTCAAGGCTTGTACATTCAGTTCGAAAGATATACTAAAAAATTTCTAAACCTATTTGTTTACCTTCAAAAAGAAACAAAAAAGAGACAGAAAGACAAAAATCAAGCTCCTTATAAAATGCAAAATCATAAACTATTTTGTTTCTAAGAATAAAAAAAAATAAAGAAAATCAAATCTTTAACATGAAATACACCATGTTGTACATATAAAATTCAAAGAAACATACATGTATATAAGCTGGTGAAAATAATCTATGATATCATATGTGAGAAGTTACATCGTTTATTTCTGAAAATACAGAACCAAAGGTTTCGTGAATAATATCACAATTACAAATAAATGAATTATTAGGATCAACATCTAAAATATAAAGATCAGCAACTCTTCTACCCTTACCAATCATCCTCAAACTGGGCATGACACGACCCGTCCCGAATCACCCTAATGGATCCGACATGTGTCGTGTGTCGATGGTAGATACCATCGAAGTGTCGGACCCACCACCAAGATAAACTTGACATGATTTGACTGTTATAATTTTATAAAAATTTCGGCAAAGTTCTCTCTGAAAAATGGACTAAAACCACCTGAAAATAAAATCAAATATCCCAAACATGTACATATGGTTTAAAACAGGGTACACCGGCCCCTCAAAATACCAATTCTTCAAAGTAGTTGTACTGAAAAAGAAATTTATCCTTCTTTACCACCAAACAACTTCATTTCAAAACATACACAAATATGCAATGAGCCTGTGACTTAATGCATTTTTTGACACAAAATACATCAGTCCAAGAAAATATGTGTTGTATGAATTAACAAGATGAGCATACAAACAATGACACGACGTACTTCAACTCGCCGATCAACAAGCTCCGATATCGCTCAACGCAGCTTCTATCTAATAAGAAATGAGGTGGCAAAAATATGAGCTTGTGACTCAGTTAGTGGATATTTGTAAAAGTATAATTTTCCATTCATAAAATCATTCTGAAAATCGACATATAGCATAAAATTTCTTTCCACATACATATAAACTAAAATATTTATTCTTTAAACTGAGTAAGCCGAATTCTATAGCTTAAAATCTAATAATACTATCAAAACCAAAATATACTGTAATCATAAATACCTTTATTCTGTATACTGCATTTCTAAAATCTGATAAGCTATGTAATACTGAAACATCACACCAAAAATATACCCGGAATAACCATACTCGTGTACCGATTAATCTCGATATACATAGCAAGGTTATTCAATTCTGAAATTCTGTAATTCTGGTTGTACGCGCGCAGAGCTATAAAATGGTCATATACTATGGAAATACATTCACAATAGTGCAGAGCGGGTAAAATCACTATATTGATCATACGCTGTGGAAACACATTCACACCAGCGCAGAGTGGGTAAAATAACCATATGAAGTCATACACCGGGGAAACACATTCTCACCAGTGCAGACGAGGGTAAAATCACTTGGGTACTTTCTGGTGATTTTTAGAAAAATAACTTTAAATGTGCTAAAGCATTTAATACTCATATAACATGCTAATAAAATGATTTACTAAATTGAATTTAACTTTTAAAAACAACTGGTTATAAATCAACTTTACTCTAAAAATCGTGTTGTCAAATCGACTATATGAATTAATAAATTTTCTGAGTTAATATAAATTAAATAAATACTAATTTTTGAAAAATAAGCTTATCTACTCACATAATACAAGCTGAACCTAAGATGGTCGATAGGCTCTTCCAATCTCCTTGTCACCACCTGGAATACATAACAAGATGACTAATCAACCACTATAAAATTAAGAAACTTTAAGATCTACTTCTATAATACTTAATTAAAATTGGTCGATGTTCGAAAGAATTTCCCAAATATTCTTCTGATCAATTGGAGCTAATCCCACTTTCTAATCCCTTTTCTAATAACGAATTCATAAACAAAACCTTCTACCCAAGTTTAAAACTAATTTTACTCTCCAATCTAGTGAAACTAGTAACCATAATTCCACCTATTTAATATACATTTTGTTCCATAAAATCAACTCCCAAGAGAAATATTCCATTTATATAATCATTTTCACAATTAATTAATCCAAAATCGAATTCTAGGGGTTTCCCAAAAATTTTACTGCTTACCTTGCTGAAATTGAAACTCAATTAATTCCCAAGCTTAAGCTCCAAATCATACATATATCACCTAAATTTGACATTTTATTACTACAAGTTAAAATCCTAAAAATTTAACATAAATCACACATCTAACACCTGGAACAATGGATAAATTACATCCCAGCTTGGAGAAAATAACCTTACCTCACTTTCTCTTCTTCCCTTCTCTTCGTTTCTTCATTCTCTCTTTTTCTTCTCTTTTTTCCTTAGTTTTTCTCCCTTTTCTAGATCTCTCCAGTCTCTGCCCGTTTTTCAGTGTGTGTGTGTGTGTTTTTGAGAGAAAATTGGTCAATTCTAATGATTTAATGATCCACTTGCTAAAAAATTGCAAAATAAGTCCTTCAACTCCCTTTTCATAACACATTTAATCCTAAACTTCCAAAAATATATAAATAAATTCTCAACTTTAAATTGTATCCAATTTAACCTTCATACATTGCCAATTGTAAAAAAAACTCCAATAAAATATTTAATTTCATACAAGTCCTCATTTGACTTGACTTTGAAAATTCTACTATTGATTTTGACTAGAAAAAAGTGTGGGTTGTAACAATCTTACCTCCTTAAAGGAATTTCGTTCTCGAAATTCAACTGACAACTGACTAGGAAATGAATAAATGAGGATATTGAGCAAGCATCTTATCCTCATTCTTCCACGTAGCCTCTTTTACTGTCTGATTCTACCAAAGTACCTTAGCAAGTGAAATTGTCTAGCTTTGCTGAATTTGTACCTTTTTGTCTAAAATTCTCACGAGCTCTTCTATATATGTCAAATTCTCCTTCAACTAAATTGACTGAGACTCTAGAATATGATAGGGACCTGCAATGTATTTGCGAAGCATGGAAACATGAAAAACATTATGGATCCGAGATAATTCATCGGGCAGATCTAATCGGTATGCAACTAGGCCAATCCGCTCAGTAATCTCATAGGGTCCAATATATCGTGGACTCAACTTTCCTTGCTTGCCAAATCTCAACACCCCTTTCCAAGGAGTTAATTTAAAAAAAACTTTGTCTCCTACTACAAATTCAAGATCTTTCCTACGCCTATCCGCATAATTTTTCTGTCTATCCTAAGCTGCTTTCAAATTTTCTTTGATCAATTAAACATTTTCGAACGTCATTTGAACCAATTCCGGGCCTTCTAACTTCCTCTTACCAGCTTCATCCCAACAAATTGGTGTCCTGCACTTCCGACCATATAAAGCTTCAAAAGGAGCCATTTCTATACTAGAGTGGTAGCGGTTATTGTAAGCAAACTCCATCAATGACAAAGGAGTATCCTAGCTACCTTTGAGCTCTAAAACACAAGCCCTCAACATATCCTCAAGAGTCTGTATGGTTCTCTCTGACTGGTCATCTATCTGAGGATGAAAAGCTGTACTGAAATGTAATTTAATACCCATGGCTTCCTGCAAACTTGGCCAAAATTTAGATGTAAAACGAGGGTTTCTATCTGACACAATAGATAATGGAGTACCATAAGAGCTCACTATCTCATCCACATAAAATTTTGCCAACTTATTTAAAGTATAAGTAGCTTTGATTGGCAAAAATTTGGCAGGTCTTGGTCAAACGATCTATGATAACCCAAACTCCATCATGATCATTCTGAGTACGAAGAAGGCCAAATAAAAAGTCCATAGTAATGTGTTCCCA